AGAAAATAAAATGGAACCTGAAACTTAGATTGAAACTTTTCTTTCCTGGTAAGTGTTAATATTAACTGAAAATGCCATGTTACTGTTTTTCTTCTTCTCAAAGTTATTATATCAGATTCAGAAACAGAAAACTTTTCAGATGTTTTTTTATTGTTCAAAAATTTCTTCTCTTTATTCACTTTTGAATCACTTTTTCTGTTTTTGAGCACACAATTTTCTCTCTTGTGTGATTTATCAAATAAAAGATTACCAATATAATTAGATTTCAAAGTAAATCAGCTTGTTTCACCATCATTTTTCATCCAAAAACTTTTACTGTCTACTTTCTTATATTGATACTTTATTTCTAATTCCAAGTTTTTCATTCACTAATGATTGATTCAATAGATTTATGATCTAATTACTCGTATAATGCAAATGTAATACAATTGTTTATTGCAATAACTTTAGACTGGAAAATAACAAGATGATTGTTTGTTATTGCTCAAATCTCATGTAAGACAAAAAGATGAACTTTGTATTTCTTGAGACGCAATGATGAATGAATGAATGTTTGAAAAATTGCAATGAAACAGAGTCCAAAAAATAGCCTGATCTTACGTTGGTTAAAGTTTATCTGTTTCGTAAAATCAGGAATAATCAACATAATTGAACACTAATTTCGACGAGTTTTATTCATTCGTTATCTTTCTACATTTTAATTCCGCTAGAGGGCAGCTATAAAAGTCTCAAAATGTGACGTAACATAGTAATGCAAAAGTTTAATCTTGACAGGATTAAACAGGTGTAACTAGTTTGACTAAAAAAGATCATAAAAAATCTCTCTGGCGGGGAATCGAACCCCGGTCTCTCACGTGACAGGCGAGGATACTAACCACTATACTACCAGAGATGATTGGATGAGGGAAATGTATTTTGTTAGGTTATATAGTTGAAGCTAAATTTGCAAGATTTCTTCTCCTTCAAGACAAGCAAGAACAAATAAAAACAAATTTTCTGGTTTTATTATTTTTTAAAATAGCTCAAGCTCATTTAAGCTTTTGTATTTGTATTTTTCATTCATTTTTTTCATCAATACCAATTGAATATTTGATTAACTGGATAGGCGTGTTGAGTTGAACGATCCCTTGAAATATAAGTTATCTAATCAACTCTGATTAATCGATTATTTAGATTATACTTTTTTTGCTTACTACTGATTCGAAGTTCTAATTCCAAAAATGTTTTATCGAAAGCAAGAAATTATTTATATTTGGATTGCAGTTCAAATGTCGAACTCTGCTCTTTTAGTTCGCAACTATTATTGTCCATTTTATTTCATATTGAAGCATTATTGTACTCGCTACTTCACTTGAAACACTGTTCATGCTTAGTTAATCAATGAAGCGAAATGCTGTTATGTCCAGTGACCAGAGGAAAACAAATTGAAGAGGAAGAAGAGAGCAAAAAATGAGAAGGAAAATTGAGTTAACATGAATTCTTAAGTGGTTCGTTCAAACAAGTCATTGAAAGAGTTTAATTTATTTTGTAAACACAAGTTAGACAGGAAAGACGATAATGATAATGAACTTTATTTTATTTTAGCATAATAATTGAGGAGCAGGAAACATTTCCGTTGATATTGTACTCTTTGGAACCGTCAAAAAGTCAACTCATGATAATGAACAAATGAATTTTCTGTAAACAATTTTTCAATTTTCACTTGTTCATTTGGTGAGAAAGAGTAAAGAGTGAAAATTAAAATCGCAAACAAAGTTGACTATAAACTGTCAGTTTTTGCTTTGGTAAACAAGGTTGACATTTTGAAGCAGAAAAAAGATTCAAATCATTCAACTATTAAATAAAAGTAAATTGTGATTCCAGTAAATGGAATGAGATTTATTTCAAATTAATAAATTGATTAAAAGGTGCCTTTTTGTTCCAATTGGGTGAACAGAAATGAATGTTTACTGAGAAAATGATGTTGAAATAGAGAATGAAGAAGAAGAGAAGAGAAAAGTTCTGAAAAATGGCCGTCATTCAAACCATTATCGTGATAATCATGGAAAGTATTTGTTGGTTAAAAGAAAAATTATTCTTCCTATTCTAAACTCATTCACGTAATCTATTCTTTCATGGTCGATAAATCATTCATTAATAATGAATAGCAATCAATCAGTTTTCAATTAATTGTTTCCATCTGTGAATGAAGATCAAACTCTTTTTTTCGTGTAAAAATTATAAATTAAACAAAATAATTCATTCTCGGTTAACAATATTAGTTTTGTTCAACTTTTCCAACTTTTTTGTGCTTCATTTTTTAATAGTTTTTTCCTTCCAGTTCAATTTTTTTACAAGATAACTTTAATAACTCTTATTATAGCTTCAGGTATCAACCTATCAGAATGATATTATTTCTGATGATGGTGAGATTTTCAAGGGGAAAAAAGAGTCAAAAATGTTGACTTTTCTTCTCTTCTTGTCTCAAATAAATGACCTTCACTGTACTGTAAAAGCCTGAGAAATATTTACTACACTCTATCATCATTTTCATTTTTCAACATTATTTCAGTTCAATCAATTCAAAGAGTAAAAATCAATGTAAGCTAGTCTTGCTTTTTCATCATCTTCATCATTCTCATCATTTTTATCTTCACCTTTCCTAGACACAAGTTTGACAGGAAACCATTAGTTTTATAAATTTCAAATAGAAATAATTTCAGATTCAAACTAGATCAAGTTGAACCTTAGACATGATGATGGTGATAATAATGACAGTGTTAATGTAGCTGTCGTTAAAAACAATTTTTTCATGAAACACCCTCAATATGTTTTATATTTAGTCCGATAAGAGGGCCTCTGTTGGGCTGAGAGATTAATGTCTAATGGCCTGATAGGACATGCATAATTACTATAACAACTTGAACCAAGATGAAGATGATAACGGTATTAATAGTCGCTAAGAAAGCTTCGCGTAAATTACCCTTACTGTTTGTGATATTTAGTACGGAGAGAGTGACTCTACTGGGTTACGAGATCCATGTCTGGCGGCCTGATAACACTTTCATATTTAGTACGAAATATGGCAACTTGACCAAGATGACGATGATGAGATAGATGAAGATGAAGATGATAATGATTGGTGGTGATGATGGTGATGATGACGGTGTTAATAGTGAGAAAAAAATTATCGTAAATTACCCTTACTGTGTGTAATATTTAGTCCGGAGAGAGGGACTCTGCTAGGTTACAAGATTCATGTCTAAGAGCCTGAAAAGACTTACTATGTATAAGCAACAAAAATGATAATTTAAATCCAAAAGACGATAATATTATCGACGAAGAAAATTCTTATGTTAAATGTTGAGGATGATGATGAAATACACTCTTTTTGTGTTGCAGATCGCATATAATATTATGAGTGATTCTGTTAAGTTGGTAGTTTTATGTCTTTGAGGTGAAGGAATCTGTTTGGTTTACGTTGATCTGAATCACAAAATAATGTATAAGATTCATTCAATTCTTTTCCTTTCCAAACAGTAAATATTATTGTTGAAGATAAGTTTAAATATGAAAAAACAATCAAATTGTTTCATGTTAACCAAATACTGGTATCAATAATGTGATTACATTTAACATGCAAAGGAAACATTTGAGCTTCTTTTTTTGATTCTCTGCCTGTTTGTTTCTTCCAAGTAAAACCAACAGGGAGTTAAAAGTTATCACTCGAAAAGAAAAGTTGAAATGGAAACTGAATATGATATGAGAATATTGTGAATAACAATAGCAACATTCTCATTTTACCAAATGAATGTGATAACTGGAATAAAAGTAAATTAACATTTCATGTTTGCATCTTCTAATCTTGCAAAATGAAATGGATTCAAGATTCAAAGGTTCGTCAAGCGCAAAAGAAAATTTTTTGTTTCAAATGAAAGTCAAATTTGACTTTTTGACTCGAAAAATTGTTGTTCAACTTTTATTCAAACCATTATTTTGCTTTTTACTTGAAATTCAATTCAAAGTTTCCAGACTAATGAGACTGCTTACAAGTTAACATTATTGATAACAAGAAGGTTTTAGTCTAACCTTGAACTTATTAGAGAACTGGTTTTGGAAGAAAGAAAATGTTTTGTTATTATTTTTCTTCTTCTATTATCGTTCAACTGGAAGAATCTAAAAATAGAATTGACCTCAATTCCACCCAAACTTCGAGAGATAACATTTTAATTGTCAATTCGTCCCTTAAAGTTCAACATTTGTCTCTTCTCCTTTTCTCGTTCACTTGAAGATCCAATTGATTGACCATCTAAGGCATAATTTGACGTAAATGTCTGAATGCTGAAAAGAAAAACAGAAAAAAAGATTGAATTTAAAGCTGAAACTTTTCTCCATCTTTACCATGACTTTGAAACTTAATGTTAAATATTTAGTTTGAGATTTCATCATAAAATTTGTCACTTTACTCTTTTCGAGGTAAATTGATGCCTTTACGTTTGCCTCTCTTTTCATGATATTTTTTGTTTCTCTTTTACCCCAGACTCTGGTTCAATCTGCACTTAGTTGAACTGATAAGTTATCAGTTGATTCTCAGTATTTTGTTGAATGCTTGAATAAACTAGAATAAGGATGAAAAGGGAGTGAAAAAAAGAGGTTAACCTGGGAGTGAAAAGGTTGCTCTGGAAGGTGAAAGAGTACAAAAAACGTTGCAAGAAGAAGAAAGTTTAATAATAATGAGCGAATCAATTTAATGTTGAAGAGTGTCCATAAAAAGAGTTGCGAAAAAAAAGAAGATGAAATAGTACATTAAGTGTATTATTGCTGTTTTCATGATAAAATCTTGTAGTTAAATTGTTTCTTTCAAAGAGATGCATGGAAATGCATTTAACTAGGAGCATCTTTTTTCTGCTTCCAACACATCATCTTGTTATGATCAAAACATTCTTGATTGTTCAGTTCAATTTTACTTTTATTGACAATATTTTTTTCTCGCTTTTTTTTCCTTCTCTTCTCTTCCTTAGTTTCAATATCGAAACATTGGAAAAGTGGATCAACTTGAGGAAACTCAAACTTGTACAGTGAGTTACTTATTGTTATTATAACAATCATCTAAAAAGAGTTCATTGTTTGCCGATAAATAAAGCAAAATGAGAAATCAATTTCAATTCAGTTTTCTTTCTTTTCCTATTCATTGTTTCACATTTTACTTTTTAAGCTCAACTTGTATTAGTATTTATTTGCCAATAAATCTGCAAATGAACAGTTGATAGTGAACAATTATTTAATTGATAATTGCAAGTCAAATCATGGAAAATTCACCGACTTATCTAAATGATAATCACATTTAGTAATGAAAGTCATTTAAGTCATAAAAATCACAGTTTTAGAACCTTCGAAACAGATTTTTCTTTAGAAATTCCAAAGTAGATTTGCCAATTCTCAGTGTTCAAGCTATCAGTTCATGAACTACAAAGCACAACACTCTTGCTGGCATCACGCAAAGAAAAAGGAAATTGAAAAGTTAAATGTAAAGTTTTGAAATAGCGAACTGTATGAAGAGATGACAATAGTGGTTAGATCTTTTAGATTGTTCAGTTTCAGTTCAATCTTAATCCTCTTTTCGTATTTCATCAGAAATTTACATTTCTATGGTAACATTTGCTAAATAGCTTTAAATGTTCGGATTCATTTTGATAATTCAGAATCATGATTTATTCAATTCGCAAGCAAATTTTAGTCTTGAAATGTCAATGGTCATTCAGTAGCAAAGCTTCGTGAAATTTCAGAGCTCCATCGTGACTGTTTCTCGAATGATTTTAACTGGGTTTGGGACAAAACTTGGCCCACTGAATATTTGAAAAGATCTGACATGATTCCCTCAAGAAATTCAGTGAATTCTCAATTTGATGAGGGTAGATTCATTGGCACACAACCTTCATCTTGTTTGTTAATCTTCTCATTAACATCATTATCATTATTTGCTCGTACTCTTGTTTTCCATATTAAACTTGTTCTTTCCTGATTAGATGAGAATTACTTTATTCAAATTATTCTTGACAATATCAGGAGCTATTTTTTCACCCTTTTTTCTTCTCTCTTTCCAACTCTCTTGTATTCAATATTTATCTTGTGTTCATGTTTGTGTCTCTTAATATGGTTGACATTCTGTTATCTGATATTTATACCTGAATAAAATTACTCTTTATCAATTTACTTGCTTTACAATGTAATACAAGAAACAGATACCGCACAAGATTGACTATTGATTCAAGTTTCATGAGAATAACAAATTTCATTTTTTCCCTTTTCTCTTGAATATCGTTGCTCTAATTTTTGCTCTTTCATCCAAACTTTACAAAAGTGTTGAAATGGAATAAAAAGAAAACATTGAAAATTTCATTTTCCTCAAAAATTGCTTCTAATTCCTTTCTTTTCTTCACCTTGATTCAACCATATTGGCACAGTGAGCTGTAGATAATGATTGAGAACGGAAGCTGAACAGGATAAAGGATGAGGTTGAAAACGATGAAAGTTAATGCAGGTTGAAACTTCCTCAGGGAAAATGAATTAAGAACTGAGGTTTTTGGCCCTTTTCTTCTTCATTCCTCTTTACCATCGATTCAATCACAATTCAAGTTGAATTAGCAAAAGATAAATTATTTTCTTTCCTCATCACTCCATGGAATCTTCATTTGTAGTGAATGAAATGGCAAAGATTATTGCCTTAAAAAGTTTTCCTCATTTTTAAATTTAATCCCATTCCTTTATAAATCCTTTTCTTTTTCAGCTCATTTACCCTGCTTTCATCTTTTTCCTTCAAATTCATTGCCTTTTAACCTGTCAATTATTCATTCACTTGAAGTACAGTAAAGTCTTTCAATGTTCACTTGTTATCAATAACTTTATAACGTTTATCATTTCCTTCGTTGGCCTCTTCTGGCTGTTCCACTCCCACTTAAACTGCTTCATATTATCATTCAGTGAATGTCAACTGCATTTAACACATTATCACAGTAAAGCTAATAATTGCAGCTTCAGATAATATAATAATGATAGGCTGGAAATGTTGAAATGAAAAAAAAGAGGAAAAGCTTGAATTACTTAATTACGATAAATTGATAATGAATTGTTATAAAATATGCATTGTTGGTTCGCTCAGTGTTAATGCTATTATCATTTTTATCATTATTAACGTGATTCGATTTAATCAAACAGTGGCAAGAGTAATGATGGGTTATTTAGTTGATTAACCAGGATAAGATTTTCTCGTAAAAGTTCCTGTAAAGAAAAAAAATTAGATTAGTTTATTTGAGGAATAAATTTTGACGAAAAAAAGCAAATTATTCTGTTTTGGTGATGACGATAAATTTGCATTTCAAGTTTAACTGTTGAAATTTGTCGACTCAGAATTGATGAGTAAACATCAGATTCTTTTGACAGCGTTTCAGGTAAACGATGAAAATCGTTCATCTTGAAAACTGGCAGTCACTCACAACAAGAGATTATTTCAATTTTCATCAAATTAATATCCTATTATAATATTACTCTTGCATTATCATATTGAATCGTTTATTCAATATTTTTAGACACGTGTTTGTTCACATTCAAACATTTTAATATCATTGGTTTATTTTGCATTATTATTTTTACAAAAAATTGATAAAATCACTTGTATTTTTTATCCAACAATTCAGAGTTCAGGTATCTAAAAATGTTTCATTTTTATGTGAATAAATTTGAAATTCATGAAACGATTATAATTGAGCCATCAAGTTGATTCGATGCTTTTAAATGTTCTGACCCAACAGTATATCCAAGTTTGAACAGTTACGTTGATTTTCCCAACGTGACCAATGTAAATCGATCATGAATCGATTCTCCATTCTGTATTCGATTTCACTTTTTTGTCTGTTTGGGCTACTTACGACAGCTTTTAAGAGGCCGTCTGCTCTTCTGCTTTGTAGGTGTTTTTGCATACCGTATCGACGATATATCGGTGTAGTTCCGTTATAAATTTCGTTAATTCTGATTCATATTAGAACAAATATCGCGAAACACTTCCAGACTTTACCCAGTTTATCTGAGAACCCAGAGGGTTTCAGCTCTGGTGAGACCGGAATGTGATTCGTCTATGGAGAGCGTTCGATTTTTAATCGATTTCAGTCTGTTAGTAGTTGAATCGATTCTGATGAATGATCGCAATCGATTATTGTAAGAGAATCTTTTTCGTTAAAATCGATTTTGACGTGATTATAATTTCCTAGCTTGAATATTTGATTATTTTGCAATATTATTATGCAAAAGAGATTGATTAGTTGAATTGAATGATTTGGATGAAGTTCAATTAGTTGATTGTGTAGGCTGGTAAAGGTTCACATTGTGCCAATTGAGTTAAATGAACCCAATTTCATTGAAGTTTTCATCTTGGATCTCTTCAACATTGCTTTTCATATTATCATCACAATTGATTGACATGAACAATAACAATCTAAGAAAGCAAATTGATTCAAGTTTGATCAGTTTTGCAGTTGACAGTTTTACAGTGAAAGGAAGACAAAGGAAAAATAAGAAAATTTGTTTTCCCTTTTCACCTCATAACAACATTCTTGTTCAACTTTTCACTACAAATATGACTTAAATTATTGATAAAAAAAATTGTCCCTCATCCAATATCTTGCAAGTTTGCAACCCAATTTTCATGGTAACATTAAGTTGGCTCATATTTTTCTAGTTCAATTGAACTAAAACTTGCATGTCTGGTAATAAACAACACATTATCAGAGTTATATTTTTTTCTGCCAGCCTCTACATGATAGTGTTATGAGGTGAAGGAAGCAACAAAATCTGTGAGTTGCTGGTCCCATCATTGTCCAAGGTTGATTAGTGAAGCGATGTAAGAATACATTTTCAACATTTTACTCTGCTGTAAAATAATGATGATAATAATGGTATAATAATGATAATAAACAATAATGCCAGCTAAACTAGTTGATCCAAAAAAAGTGAGGGTAAAAAATAGGAAAAGAAAATAGAAAATTATTTCTCTTTTTTTCTCTTTTCTTCTCCCTCTAAATCAAATGCAGTAAAAAAGCATGTTTTATAATGATGATAATGATGATAATATCAATAATATCGACCTTTTCCTCGACTCACTGACAATTTGTTCATCGAACAACTTTTTACATTCAATTTTCAGCATCATCATTTATCTTTTATTTCATTACTATTTTGTGTTTTTCCCTTTCAACATTGATCTTTTCAATGTTGATAATTAATTTGGGACGCATTATCTTTTTGCACTCCCAGGATTCCATCAGTTTTGCTGCACAAAACTTTTCCTCAAAGATTATCGCACAATTATTTCATGTTTAGTGGTGTAAATTTTTATTCAAGTAACCCTTTTTCATGTCATTTGTTTCCATTGATTGAAACGCTCTGTTAAACATCCAAGTTCATAGTTAACAGTAAATCAATTATTGGACCAAAATGTGTTTTACTTTACGATCAGTTTCAAGGGTTTAAAGTTGCCTTTTCACAGTCATGACAGCCTTGAAGGATAAACTTTTGTGCACAAATGGTTCAGCTTTTCCCAGTGGCTTTTCCTTACCGCCTGCTAGTCCTTTGATGTTGTTTTTTCAGTTAAATAAAAAGATCAAGAAATCGAAGCAATTAGATTCAAATTGATTCTTATTTTTAGTGCAATCTTTTAGTGAATGAATCGAGTAAAAGTTGAATTGTGTCAATTTATTCAATTTAACCACAAAAATAACTTTTGCATTTTCCCTCAGAAATGGATTTTTTGTATCAAGATTGCTGTGAAATTTTCATGAATATGTAGCAACTTCAAGTTTAGTCATTTTAACCTATCTTTTTATCCAATAGACTATGGAGCTTGAAAGGAATGCCAGTCCTCAGGGAATGCTGAGAAACTGTGAAAATATGATCTGAGAAAGTTGCTTATATTCTTACAGTTGACTCATGTTAATACATCAAACTTCAGCATTACTTATTTTAATTATCTCCAGCATGCACTGGAACTTATTGAATAAAGAAGATTCACTTGGAAAATTGACGAATT